CCATGTGATGATAAAGCAGATTGACGCTGAATTGCAGCCAACAGTCTGAGCAGAAGTAAAATGTGGTTTGGTGCAGTTTGGGAGTGTTCAGGTGCCAAGCCTCTCCCTTCACCGGTTAAAACATACAAGTGTGAGCCGTCTCCACTCAGAGCCATTAGTACAGCAAATACTAGTTTAACATAGTTTACAATTCACACTTTGTTTAATAATGGTCTCGCCTTTTGCAAAATATTAAAAAGATTAGTAATATTAGCTTGGCTTAATATGTAAAAGAAAATTTGGGTTTACAGTGCAGACACCCTGCGGAGGAAACTCATTTCGAGCGCTTGTATCCGCGATCTCGTCCTTTCGGTCACTACCCAGAGCTCATGACCATGAGCACTTTACACAAAACTGTGAAAAAAGTGAAGGAAGATTTTTAAACCTGTTTTTTAAAGTTCCAAACTGGAGTTTCATTCTTTTCTGGTTTTGCAGTGATATTTACCAGCCTCTGCACATTTACCAAACCAAACGCACATCGTGACAAACACAGATGCATTTGTGCACTTTTGTTAGACAAACTTCAGCCAAATGTGGCAGTAGGTCTGTTCTGTAGATCCGCTCTATGCTGTAGACCTGCTTTGTGCCAACACTGGAACACAAATTTAGACTGGTTTTTGCTTCACGTTTGGTCTTGTTCTTCTAATCAGCCGCACTGTGGGAGGAGCTTGTGTTCGCTGTACGCAGGAAGGAGCGAGAGCGTGAAAAGGCGAGGGGCGGCGTGCTGACGTGAGGCAGATGGACAGGTAGGATGTTTAGGAAGTTGAACCTGCCCTGTGATGCACGCTGGTACACGAGGGCACACGCTGTCGCAGACGAGCCGTGCATAGGGAGCGTGTGTGTTTGTGATGCGCCGTAGAGTCTCCGCGGGTTTCAAATGAGCGCACAGGCTGCACTGAGACGCCCCACACGCTCCTGCACCCGCTACAAGTTTATTACCAACAGCAGCGGCCGGAATCAAATATTATCACACTTGTTGAGTGTCAGACCTCGAGTGAGAGACAAGACCGAGTCCAAACGCGAGTCCGAGATGAGACACGGCGATCTACCCACACGACCTTGGCGATCGACTGGTAGATCCTGATCGACGTATTGAGCACCCCTGATTTAGAGTTTCATTTTGAGAAAAAATCTTAGAAATAGAGGAACATAGGACTATGGAAACACGGGGCCTAACTTTCCAAATTATCTGTAAAAAAAAAAAAAAAATTTTGAACTGAGGAAACATAAGGCCGACCCGTATGTTTGTGTCATGCAGGTTACACCAAAATTTATTTAACCTTCAGTCCCTGGACAGACTGAGGTCATAAATGCCGCACCTGACTGTAAATTACCATGTGTATTAAAGGAATCATACACCCATTAAATCAATAATTAAAGTGTTCATTCAGTCTCAGTCACCACATCAATCCACTATTTACATCATCACAGTTCATGTTGCTGTATTTATTTACACAGGGCAGATTCATGTGAGAACAGGGAGGAAACTTCACTGAAAACTACTCTGAAACTAACACACCTACTTAATTACTCTTTCTGTTTGCTTACTAGGTTTATTTATTCATTTGACAGGGACATTGTACTGTAAATGTGCTGCACAGACCAGATTTAATTCCGAACTACACTGTGAACCGTCCCTGAGGCCCCAGGGTTTTAGCAGCACAGAACTGGACCTTCATCCTCTTCATTTCTACTGGAGGCTATCACTGTTCTGATTGGAAATGACTGGGGAGAGATGATGTCTGAGCTGCCCAGTCCTGTTTAAAGATGGACTGTGTTTCTTCACAAAAACAGGCTCTTTAACTTCCCTCTCAAACCATTTCTTTTCTTTTCTTTTCTTTCCTCAGATCTTTACCTCACTGTCCTCAAAGTCAGACCTGGGCATTGTCCACATATGACCCTTTGGTCGACTCTGACCCATTTAAAGAGCCCATCTCATGCAAAATCAACTTTTCAGAGTTTTCTACCTTCTAAGAATGATGAGTGGGCCTTGTATTTGTCGCTGTAGTGTTTTTTAGATTGATTCTGTGTTTTTTTAACAAATTGCAGCGTATTTCTGCCACCCTCCCACATGACAACGAACTAAAGCTGCTACAACGATGATGCGGCAGATTCACCTATGACACGTTTGACGTACCAGAAAGCACATCGCACCCGCCCCCATCCACCGCTTCACCACCTCCACCTCTACCCTGCATCGTCTGACAATTCCCACATGAACACCTAAACAAAACTGCAGTGGACACAATATAAGTTTATCTACTAGTGTTTATTAAAACTTTACCAATCAGTAATGTTCAGCTGATGTGGACGTGGTGCTTGAGCTTCGTGCTCCTCAAAGTCCTCGTCCGATTCCGGGTCCAACACATGCGGCTGAACGCGCTGTATCTCCATGATGAATAAAAGTTTATTCCTGTCACTATCAGGGTCACGTCTCCCTCCCTCCCTGAGATGGCGGAGGAAGGGCGGCTCACTCAGAGCCTACGACACGTTTGGAGGGCGGAGCCTGTGCTTTCTCAGGACGGGCGGGGGGAGGAGCAATAGTCGGTCTTTCATAGTTCCTGGTCTGTTAGTCTCACTATTGTGTACTGGATGTTCCAGAACCCAAATTGTGCTTGTTTATGTGCAGAAGATACAATGTGAAAAGAGTTATTTTACATCAGATGGGCACTTTAAGCTCATTTGGAATCAGGAAACAAACATATTTTATAATTATACTTCATGCATGGACTAAAGTTGAATTTCTTTTATTTTAGACGTGTTTTTTTATGTAATTTTTTGTAAGTCAGCCTCACTTTTTCATTGCTTAGTCAGAACATAAACTCTTAGTCTGACCACAGTCGGGCGAGAGGGTGCAGTAAAACTACAATTAAAAATATATTTTACAATATATTATGCTGTTAAATTGTAAATTTATAGTAAATTATTGGTTAATAATTGCATTACTTTTACAGTAATTCAACGTAAATATTTTCACAGCAGTTTACTGTATTTATTTCAGTTTACAGTCCGTCTACAGATAATTACTGCCTATTACGGTAATTCTTTGGACATGGCAACCATAAATTTACAGTAAAGTGTTGTGTTATTGTAAATTACTGTGAAGTAATTACAGTAAATTGCTGTGAAATGAATGTGATCCGAGGTTATTTGAGGTCACACGGGTCAATTGAAAGGTCACGCCATTATAAAGGATCGTCAGTTTCGGAAATTTGTGAACTATCTGCGGCCTAAAATATTCACCCAATCATCACACGAGTTGGCACATACATAACCAGGGCACAGTGGATGTTACAGGTTGAAACCGGTCAAGGTCACTTAAAGGTCAAAGATGAAGCTTGAGCAACAGGAGTGTCTCAAAATCTCAGAAAAATTATGATCTATTTATAATTCTATGCATTTGTGTAGTAAAATATTAATAGTTTTCCAGATAATCACTAATTCTAACAGTTCCTTTCTCTTTCAGTTTATGCCGTTAAAATTCTAATTGGAACCAAAATAATTCCCATTTCTTGTTTTTCTGGTGAAACACGACACACTGATCTACAGTCACACAACTAACACACACACAACTCATGACAAAATGACATTTTGGTTCCACACTAGTAAACACAGACATTCTCATGTGTGACCAACATCACACAAATGTTCATGGGCCTGTACAGATACACACATTACATTGTGGACATAATAATCATGTGATATGGGCTGAGCTCCTCATAAACTGTTTCTGTGGTGATGAACTGACCCGCCGAACACCAGGTCGATGTTTCTTACTTTTCCTTTGTCCCTACCACTGATTCATAACAATAATTATTTGTGTTTAATCATTGTAATATGATGTATGTTTATGTTAATACACACTTCAAGAATCTTGGACTTCCGGTCATTGTGCAATTCACACTGGGAAGGATTTTCCGTAAAAGTGAGCATCAAACCTCCATGTTTGTTTTCCCAGTGGGATGTGTCTGTTGACAAAGTCGATCTTTTCAAGTCTTTTGAACCATATCACTTTTGTTTCTGATTCTGATATTGTCATATTTTAGTTTTGGGATTCAGACATCGTTAATTGTGTGGTTGTTGGATCCTAACAGTGGAAAACGACTCGAGAAATTTGTTTGTGAACTAATCAAATTATGAGTAACTGTATTCAGTTACAGTTACTGTTTCAATGAGTGGTAATTGGATTACAGTTACTTTGTTGAAATAAATGGATTATACAGCGGTATTTTCTTGTTCTCACATTTTGGGCTAAACCAGGACTAAACCAGAACTAAACTAGGACTAAATCAGGACTAAAACCAGGACTAAACAATATGACACTAACAGTAGATGGACATAATTTAAGGCAGCAGTGAAATCATATAAAAAGCATTTTTCTATCAATATTTTTAATCTGGTTCAGTAAAGTCTGGACTTTTTATTGTCGTTATGGAGACAAAAACATCTTATGTTAAAATATCCTGGTCTTTGTTTCTCTGCAGTAAAACAAATGCCTGTTCATGGAGACTTGGGCTCAACAGACAATTTGAAGAAAACAAACAAGAATTTTCAGGATGTGGTTGCTTCATTCATGTCGTTTTAAAAAGCACGACAATATCAAGTAATCCAAAGTATTCAGATTACATTACTCACTTTAAGTAATTTAATGGATTACGTTACAAACTACATTTTGGGGTTTATCATCTGTAATCTGTAGGGGAATACATTTTAAAAGTAAACTTCCCAATGCTAGAGATGGAGTTCACTGCAGACTGAGGTCCAGTGCTGCGATCTCTCATCAGTGCTTGTACATTTTCTCACGAAGTAGCTGTTTTGTTTTTCTCACGCCACACTCACTGAAGTGTTCACTGCACGGAACTGAGTCGACCACACTGCTCCACATGTGACTCTGGGCTTTTTAGATCTTTCCTGTAACATAAAGGGGTGGTTACCTTGGCCACGCCCCCTTCTGCTGTTCACAGACCTCAGAGCGGTAGGTAAATCGTTGTCTCTTTTGATTTTGTTATATGTTTGGTAAATGTACATTCATATAAACTAACAGAACTTGTATTTGTGTGTAATTTAACAATGCCTAACTTAGGTTTTCAGCGTTTTTGGAATATTTTTTGAAATGAATAGTGTGCGTGTGTGTTTTTGTTTTTTTTATCAACCTATTTTTAAAGGTCAGACTGCCAGACAGGGAAGTAGCAGCTGTGGTTAAAATGTGTTGCATGATACCGTAGTACAAAATGAAGTGATGAAGCGTGTTTCCCATATCTCAAAATACAGCTATGAATAAAGATGCCAACAGGATAATTTAATATTAACCATTTTAAAAAAGATATATTTATCAGTACTTAACCTGGGAAGGTTATATAATTGAAAGACAAGAGAAAAAAAAAGTATAAAAAGAGATGGGACGTTCTTAAATACCTGGAAGAAAATTAGTCTGTGTATTTATATGTTGAATATAGCATATAAACTGTTGTCGGCCATTTATAGTAAAATAAATAAATATATACAAAAAGAAAGGGGGAAAAAATGTACTACTACTACCAATGATAATGATAATTATAATAATGAAATAAATTATTGTTGTTGTAATTATTGTAAATAACAGTATTGACAATAGTAAGTGTTATGGTTGTAATAATAATAACAGTAATTGTGATAATGGTTTTGGTAATAATAGTTGCAGTAATAATGGTAATAATAATAATAAATAAAAAGAAACGCCTCAGGGTTATGATTTGAGATTTTGTCAGATGGTGAAAGATAATGAAAGGAAATGATGATGGTGAAAATAAATACTAGTTTCAGTACAGAGACTAAAAAAAAAAAAAAAAAAAAAAAAAAAAAGAAAGACAAAAGGACTTTCACTTATGAATTGGCTGCAGTGTGTCAATGTTAGGGAGCCTAGCGATGGATTTATGTTGCACTATCGCATTTATTTTTTTATTTGATTTTGCCAAATTTGTGTCGGTGTGGGGATGGGTGGTTGGGGGGAAATGAGGGGGCTTTTTTTTTTTTTTTCTTTTGTATTTGTTGTGGTGTTGTGGGTGTTGCTTTATGTATTTGTCTTTGTTTTATGCTGAATACTGTAATTGTTAAATGTTGATTGCTGTTTTATTTCTAAATGTTATATTCTGTAATTCTAACAGTTCCTTTCTCTTTCAGTGTAGCCGTTAAAATTCTAATTGGAACCAAAATAATTTCCATTTCTTGTTTTTCTGGTGAAACACGACACACTGATCTACAGTCACACAAGTAACACACACACAACTCATGACAAAATGACATAACACAGACATTCTCATGTGTGACCAAAATCACACAAATGTTCATGGGCCTGTACACACACACACATTACACACACATTACATTGTGGATATAATGATCATGTCCAGAAAATGTGTTTCTTTAAATCCATTTTGCATTTTTTCTTGAGTTTTAGGACTATCTGCAGTAAAAATTTATCTGGCTGTGTTGTATCACCGTGGTAACTGCTGAACATTCCTCCGTAGACATGCAAGCAGAGCCCCCCAGAATGATGTCACTAGTCCTGGTTTAGTCCTAGTCCTGGTTTAGTCCTGGTTTAGTCCTCGGTTCAGTCCTGGTTTAGTCCTGGTTCAGTCCTGGTTTAGTCCTGGTTCAGTCCTGGTTCAGTCCTGGTTTAGTCCTGGTTTAGTCCTGGTTCAGTCCTGGTTTAGTCCTGGTTCAGTCCTCGGTTCAGTCCTGGTTTCAGTCCTGGTTTAGTCCTGGTTCAGTCCTGGTTCAGTCCTGGTTCAGTCCTGGTTTAGTCCTGGTTCAGTCCTGGTTCAGTCCTGGTTTAGTCCTGGTTCAGTCCTGGTTCAGTCCTCGGTTCAGTCCTGGTTCAGTCCTGGTTCAATCCTGGTTCACTGTAGTTGCGTGAAAAAGATACAAAAATTCCATGACTTTCCCAAAACCTTTACTGATTTTACAAAATTCCATGACTTTTCCAGGTCTGGGCAACGACATTCTCAGTTTCCATGACCTTTGGGAACCCTGCACATCATCCACCAAGTCCTAAACTCTTCTCCTTGTGCTGTTTTTCTCGCAGGTCGAGATGGAGGATGGAGGGAGACCTGCGGAGAGGAAGTGCTCCTTCTTGAATTATCGGCGGACGATCTTCTTCCTGTTTTTCTTTAGCTTTTTCGTGATTCTGTACAGCCTCAACGTGATCGAGACCTCCAACTCCTGGACTGAGAAAATATGGTCCCACTACGTCAACGCCACGTCTCAAATAAAGCTCCCCAACTCAACTCTGAAAAAGCTCTTCTTCGATTGGAGCGCCAAAAGGACTACAACCGTCATGGCTACCTCGACGGCGCCTCCCCTGCCCCCTCCGGACTACAAATCCCCGGGGGCGTTTTACGTGGAATACCCTTACAAGTACAAGTTTATCATTAACGAACCGACGGGCTGTGAAAAACTGAAGCCGTTTTTAGTTCTGATCGTTCCTGTCGCGCCTCAGAATATCGAAGATCGCCGGATAATTCGCGAGACATGGGGCGCGCAAAAAACCGTATCCGACAAAAACATCGCTGTATTTTTCCTTCTTGGCCTCGGAAACGCTGACGAAAACGAGTTGTTGAAAGAGAGCAAACAATATCAGGACGTCATTCAAAGCGATTTCATGGACTGTTACAAAAATTTGACGATAAAAACCATGGTGATGATGGAGTGGTTGGACGCGTACTGCCCGCAGGCTTCGTACGCCATGAAAATCGACTCAGATATTTTTTTGAACTTGCCGAAACTGATGGAAATGCTTCAGAGCGCGCAGAAAACGAACTACCTGAGCGGTTTGGTGGAGCGCGCGGCCATCGTTCAGCGCTCAACAACCTCCAAGTGGTACATCCCGCGGGAAGTTTACGACGGGGACACCTTCCCGCCGTACACGCTCGGCCTCGCTTACGTTTTTTCTCGGGATCTGCCGAAGAAGCTGGTGGAGGCGGCGCGGGAGGTGAAGGCGCTGTGCATCGAGGACGTGTTTTTGGGGATGTGCATGCGTCATCTGGGTCTTTCGCCAACCGATCCGACCGTACACGGAGCTTTCCACGTGTTCCCGTTCGCGTACAACAGGTGTCAGTACTCGAGGATCGTAGCGACGGTTCTGGACGTGCACACGGACCGAAGGCAGCTGTGGAAGGACTTTTCAAAACCAGAGCCGTATTGCTGAAGGTGCCAAATTATGGAAATTTAACTACTGTGAGATTTGAGCCATGTTTTAATTTTGTTTCCTTCTGAAAAAAAAAAAAAAAAACAGACCTGGAGAATCCGTGTGTCATTCGTTCATTCGTTTTTCAAGATAAAACCAAAAATAAGAAACGAAAAAACAACAATTTTCTTCATTATTTGTCTCCAAAGCCAAAATGAAAAAATGGACAATGATTAGTTTTTTTCAGTTTTCGATTTTGTGTTTAAATGAAGAATGGGAAAAAAAAGGATAACGGACTGAACCAGTTCTGGGACCAGACCGGAACTCAGACCAGGACTGAGACCGGGACCAAACTGAGACCGAGACTGGGACTAGACCAGGACCAGACCGGGACTGAAACCAGGAGCAGACCAGGACTGAGACCGAGACCAGACCGTTACTGAGACCATGACTGAAAACGGTTTAGTCCTGGTTTAGTCCTGGTTTAGTCCTGGTTCAGTCCTGGTTTAGTCCTGGTTTAGTTCCGGTTTAGTCCCGGTTTAGACCCGGTTTAGTCCCAATTTAGACCCGGTTTAGACCTGGTTTAGTCGGTCCATATGTGGCGCAAAAGTTTGGCATTGCAGTTTAAGTTACGTAAATGGTAAACGGCCGTTATCCGTTTTTTCCATTTTTCATCTAAACACAAAATCTAAAACTGAAAAAAACAAATCATGATCCGTTTTTTCATTTTGGTTTTGGAGACAAATAATGAAGAAAATTTTTGTTTTTTCGTTTTATGATTTTTGGTTTTATTTTTGAAAAACGAATGAACAAATGATACACGGATTCTGGTTTTGTGTTTTGTTTTCATTTTGATTTATGGATCTGCGTTGAGGTTTATGCGCCGCAAACTAATTCACCGGCATAACGCTAGAAGGTGGCGTTTTAAAACTGGTGTAAATTGTGTAAATCGGGTGATTTGGCGCTCGGCCATAATTGGGCTTCAGTCGATCTACATCTCTAAAGTTTAAAAAAAAAGTACCTGCCTACTGTTGAGCAAACGAATTCTAATGTTGAGCGGTCAGACGGTTTTCACAACGAGAAACCGGCTGATGAATCAGGCTGTGCATTTGAACTTTTGGTGTGCGTTCATCCATCTTCACTAGAATCATTTGGACAATTTCAGCCATGGAATTGTCAGTCTCTACTGAACAAAATGTATGCAGTTTTTCACATTTAAGTTGCTGTTCCTTACTTTGCTAATCAGGCTGGTGCCACCTGGTGCCTCCACTCAGTTTCATTTCTCTCCAGTGACTAGGTCAGGAATCAGAATACACTAGACAATTTACAGCAGCTCTAAACCGTGCACCGACCAATCAGCTGTGAGCTGTGAAGTCATGACGTCAAACTCGTGGCGTCTGTCTGTGTCCCTTTTGTGGAACAGCACAACAGTAACCAAAGCGTCGAGATGGATGTAGACGAAGACAGACTTTCTATGTTGGCAACGATTCCCCAGATCCCCGAGGATTTCGACTCTCTGTTTTGTTTGCTGTTGTGCCGGCAATTTCTTGGACACCACTGAATGTTCCGGCGCATTACATACGTCACGACAAAAAAGCAGCAACTGGTTAAACGCACTACAGTGTCCAAAAGCCTTTTTTTTCCCAGCAAAAAGCCTCATCAGATCATTTTTCTTGCTTTGGACCAAGAACTCAGCCTAAATGTGCAGGGTTTGTGTGTTAAGTCGGGCGTACACTGTGTGACTTTTGGCCCTTTTTGAGCCGATTTTTCATTCATGTGACTGTTTTTGGGATCGGATCGAGTTTTAACTTAATCGTGTGTCATGTTTTGTGTAATAAACATGGGGTCACGAGAACCGATTAATACCTCACGACCAGCTCCTGATCAACAATCGTAGGTCACAAGAAAATCAAACCTGATTGAAATCCAGTCGCCTCGTGACGGTTTCGCTCTGTTGAAGTTTGTTCAGAACATGAATCATGAGCTGTGAACTTTTAAACCCTGTAATTTGATCGTACAGTTTGAGCTGGAGCTGAGTGAAACCATCAAAAATATCACCCAGTGTTTGTCCGACATTAAACACGTGAATGAAACAAAACACAACTCCAGGTCTGACGAGTTTGTGACGAGGAAACAACATTAGAACAGAAAATACTGTAATATTTTAAAGATCATGTGACAGGTTTTTGTGTTTTTCTAATTGTGACTTGGTTTGGTTTATTGCACCTGTGGTAAATATCAGTGTATCATAGTTACGTCAGTTAAATGGCAGTTTGAGGAAAATGTTGAGAAAAGAAGTACAAAAAAATAAAAATTCACGCACAAGGAAGGCAGTTTTCTGACAGTATAAACCTTTATTTATTTTCAATCCGTGTGGCCTTCGTTCATTCGTTTTTCAAAATACTAAAAATAAGAAAAAAAAAAAACAATTTTCTTCATTATTTGTCTCCAAAAACAAAATGAAAAAACAGATAAAGATTCATTTTTTCAGTTTTCGATTTTGTGTTTAAATGAAGAATGGAAAAAAGTGGATTACGGCCGTTTATGTGACTATCGTGACTGTGATGCTGGACTGAACCAGAACTGAACCAGGACTGAACCAGGACTGAACCAGGACTGAACCAGGACTGAACCAGGACTGAACAGTTTTCAGTCCTGGTTTGGTCCCAGTCTCAGTCCTGGTCTCAGCCTTGGTCTGATTCTGGTTTTGGTCCTTGTCTCAATAACGGTCCGGTCCCGGTCTCAATCACGGTTTTGTCCTGGTCTGGTCCCGGTCTCAGTCCTGGTCTCAATCGCAGTCTGGTCCCGGCCCCAGTCCTGGCCTGGTCCTGGTCTCAGTCCTGGTCTCAGTACTGGTCCTGTTCCCAGTCTCAATCCTGGTCTCAGTTCTAGTCTGATCCTGGTCTCAGTCCCGGTCCTGGTCACAGACTCAGTCCTTGTCTGGTCCTGGTCTAAATCCTGGTTTCAGACTTGGTCTGATCCTGGTCTCGGTCCCAGTCTCAATCACAGTCTTGTCCTGGTCTGGTCCTGGTCTCAGTCTGGGTCTCAATCCTGTTCTCAGTTCTGGTCTGATCCTGGCCTCAGTCCTGGTCTCAGTTCTAGTCTGATCCTGGTCTCAGTCTCAGTCCTGGTCCTGGTCTGGTCCCGGACCTGGTTCAGTCCTCGTTCAGTCCTGGTTCAGTCCTGGTTCAGTCCTGGTTCAGTCCTGGTTCAGTTCTGGTTCAGTCCTGGTTCAGTCCTGGTTCAGTCCTGGTTCAGTCCTGCATCACAGTTTAAGTCACGTAAACGGGAAACGGCCGTTATCCGTTTTTCCATTTTTCATTTAGACACAAAATAAAAAACTGAAAAAAAACTAATCATTATTTGTTTTTTTCATTTTGGTTTTGGAGACAAATAATGAAGAAAATTGTTGTTTTTTCGCTTTCTTATTTTTGGTTTTATTTTGAAAAACAAATGAATGAATGACACAGATTATTTTCTTTTGTCTGATCTTCTCTGTTGTGTCGTTTAGAGTCGTTTCAGTGTTCCCCTGTTAGTTTTACAGTTGCTCGGTAACGGTCACTATGTATAAATCCACAGAGAAATCCGATAGCTCTAATTAAAGGCCCTATATGATGCAAAACGGACTCTGGTGAGCTTCAAAAACAGACTGTCTACATCTGCGAAGCTCAAAATGCTCTGTTCCACCTTGTGATGTCATGAAGAGGTAGTTTTAGCAGCTCCTTTTACCTTTAGTTCAGTCATCAATGCCAATGATTCTAATGAAGGTGTGTGGAGTTTAAAAACACAGTGGAGAAACATCTGCTGTGGAGAAACTTCTACTGTGGACAAACTTCTACTGTGGACAAACTTCTACTGTGGACAAACATCTGCTGTGGACAAACTTCTACTGTGGACAAACTTCTACTGTGGACAAACATCTACTGTGGACAAACATCTACTGTGGACAAACTTGTGGACAAACTTCTGCTGTGGACAAACTTCTGCTGTGGACAAACTTCTGCTGTGGACAAACTTCTACTGTGGACAAACATCTGCTGTGGACAAACTTCTGTGGACAAACTTCTGCTGTGGACAAACTTCTACTGTGGACAAACATCTACTGTGGACAAACTTCTGCTGTGGACAAACTCTGCTGTGGACAAACTTCTACTGTGGACAAACTGTGGACAAACATGCTGTGGACAAACTTCTGCTGTGGACAACTTCTGCTGTGGACAAACTTCTACTGTGGACAAACATCTACTGTGGACAAACTCTGTGGACAAACTTCTGCTGTGGACAAACATCTACTGTGGACAAACATCTACTGTGGACAAACTTCTGCTGTGGACAAACTTCTGCTGTGGACAAACTCTACTGTGGACAAACTTCTGCTGTGGACAAACATCTACTGTGGACAAACTGTGGACAAACTTCTACTGTGGACAAACTTCTGCTGTGGACAAACTTCTGCTGTGGACAAACTTCTGCTGTGGACAAACATCTACTGTGGACAAACTTCTGCTGTGGACAAAACATCTACTGTGACAAACTGACTGTGGACAAACTTCTGCTGTGGACAAACTTCTGCTGTGGACAAACATCTACTGTGGACAAACTTCTGCTGTGGACAAACTTCTGCTGTGGACAAACTTCTACTGTGGACAAACTTCTACTGTGGACAAACTTCTGCTGTGGACAAACTTCTGCTGTGGACAAACATCTACTGTGGACAAACTTCTGCTGTGGACAAACTTCTGCTGTGGACAAACATCTACTGTGGACAAACATTCTGCTGTGGACAAACTTCTGCTGTGGACAAACATCTACTGTGGACAAACTCTGCTGTGGACAAACTTCTACTGTGGACAAACTCTCTGTGGACAAACTTCTGCTGTGGACAAACTTCTGTGCTGTGGACAAACTTGTGGACAAACATCTACTGTGGACAAACTTCTGCTGTGGACAAACTTCTGCTGTGGACAAACATCTACTGTGGACAAACTTCTGCTGTGGACAAACTTCTGCTGTGGACAAACTTCTACTGTGGACAAACTTCTGCTGTGGACAAACTTCTACTGTGGACAAACATCTACTGTGGACAAACTTCTGCTGTGGACAAACTTCTGCTGTGGACAAACTTATGCTGTGGACAAACATCTACTGTGGACAAACTTCTGCTGTGGACAAACTTCTGCTGTGGACAAACTTCTGCTGTGGACAAACATCTACTGTGGACAAACTTCTGCTGTGGACAAACTTCTACTGTGGACAAACTTCTGCTGTGGAGAAACATCTGCAGTGGAGAAACATCTGCTGTGAAATCCAACGATGTGACCTCAACATGCAAACACGGACATAAATATTTGTTCTCTTCCTCTGACAGTCTGTGATCTTCTGCCACTTGATTTCTCCTCCGTGTTCCACACACACGTTTTATTTGTTTGTATATTTTTGTTTCAGTTTGACTTGGTTCCCGAACGCTCTGATTTTCACACACATCAGTCAGTTTGAGTTTAGGCGCGGTTCTCTGTCGGCCTGAAAACACTAAAGGAGGATCAGAGTGTTTTCAGTCTGAGAGAAGAACTTAGCAACTGCAGGTCTGTTTGTGACGAGGAAACGA